GTGAAATTATTCGAGAAAATTAAAAAATTGCAAATCGTTGTGGAAAAATTATTTTCGGTTGTAGGGTTCAATTATAGTCATTTTTGGTGAATAGACATACCCCCGAAATCTTGCGCATTTTCGAGAAAAAAATTCAGTAAGAGCGGCACTTTAAACGTTAATAACTTTTTAACGAAGCTTCCACCAACAAATTAGTATTCTTGATTTTCGTCTTATTTTGGCCTCTACTATCGCTCATTAAAATTTTTGCTAGAGGTGGCCGAACACCCTGTATGTATAGGAAAAAGTTGCTCAAAATGTTGATTTCTACAACATATTCAAATATCATCGAAATCGGTGAGACCCGGCCTTTTCTAAATAATTCCTCATTTTCTTTCAATAATTCTCCATTGCAAAAATTCTACAGTATTCTTACATTTTTTTATATTTTAAAATTTTCCCATGTTATTAGAAAGTAGATATACAACGAAAGTTATACAATTTATAGTTCCTAGCATGTATAACATGTATATGTATATAACGCATGGTCGCTTCGTATGGAAAGTCAATGAATCTTCAAAAAGCGCCCAGGTCCGATTTCGAGAAATGTAAGGTCTGTCGGTCACGATGGCTTTTGTCGTTTACTGACGATTCGAACGGTTGGCGATGCCAGGCTTGCTTTCGAGAAATGTAAACGACGTCAGCGATGCAAGAGCGAGAAGGAAAGCGAGTATCAGCCTGTTCTTCTCGGCTCTTCCGAAACTCAACGAGCTCACGTACACGCAATTGAGCATAGTGTGCGAAAGCGAGGAATGAGGAGTTTCCGGGGCCCCGATGCACAGACTGATTAAACTGATTTCGAGTCGCAAATACGTTTCTGTCGAGTTATTTTTTTAATAAATGATGTATTACAATTTAAAATAAAAAATAGAGAATTTGCGGTGTACGTATCAATGAAATACATCCTTATGAATTTTAATAATCTTGAAATTTTTAAATACTCTAAATCGATTGATTTCTCCAATGAAATTAATCGATTAATGTCCAATGATGGACCCTACAGCTTTAATTCCGTTAAAAAATAATAAAATTTATGTAATTTTATTTTCTGTCTCACTTCCTCTTGTGTTAATTTCTGAATCTGTTGATAACGTAGCGAGTGACACGAAAATGGTAATGGGGTCCCGGGACCCCAGAAACTCCGGCCGAAAAATTGCATTACGTGAAAGGTCTATTCATATACCTCGTCTGTGCTTTCACCTTATGGACTTTCGCGGCCGAATCTGACTGCCATACCGACCTGAAAATTCGGAGCTGATTTTAGCGGCCTCTTCTCATGGATGGCGGTTAGTTGAGAAACTAGGCACTGAATTAGCTTTGATGGGCAGCCAGCTGAGTGTGTACGTAAATACATGTGAGTTGATTATGGGAGGGATTGGAAAAGACAGTGGAGTATTATCAGACGGCAGACCCGTGCCGAAAGGGAACTGCCCCACCACTCACACACACTAATGCCAACCACCTTGTATATGAGTTCTGGCGTTTCGTATAGCTTCGTAGATTCGAGAAAGGCGGCGAATGTCAGTCTATCCTTCTTGCTCTCAACACAGCTGAAATTCGATCTCGCATATTCTCGAGCCGAGATTCTCGACTGCCTAGGCATTTTTGACTTTCCGACCTGTGTAGGCATATACAATGTATAAGCAATATACCATAATGAAGAAAAAATTACAAAAATTTGTTTTTACGGAAATACACGTTTTAAAACGATAATATTTTATGAACATATTTTAACCCTTTGCACTCGGTTGTCCCCTCTGAGGGGACATGAAAGTTTATTAGTGATTAAGGAGAATGAACTGATTTCACCGCAATTTTTTAAGAAACACATGTTTTCCTGTACTTTCCTATTAAAATGGGAAATATTCTATTAAAATGAGAAATATATCAGCCGTTTTTACGTTGGGAAGTGGAAGGATTGTCGATGATGGTCAGAGGCGTATGGTCGGATTCAAACACGTGGACAATAAACGTAACTATATAAACTATATTATTTAATGTTTACTAAAATTATTTAACATAAAGAACATAAAACGTAAACGTAAAAAACTATAAACGTAAAATCGAAACTTCATTCAAAGTCGAACCATTCCTATTGCTATCTTCGTTATAATCTAAATAAATTAACGTTCTTTGTCGGACAATAGAATGAATAATAAGCTACATATTCCAAATGTAGGCCAAAGAAACCGGGACTGCATTATTTGTTCCGACAGGAAAACACCAGGAGAAAGACGTCAAACAACATTTTATTGTGAAACATGTATAAATCAACCTGCTATGTATATTGGGAATTGTTTCAGAATTTACCATACCATAGAAAATTATGAGAAATAAATTTTTATTTTGTATTGTAAATATGTGTTCTTCAATGTCCATAAATACATATAAACCAAATTTCAACACAATGCCTTACTTGGTTCCAAAGTTGTACCATATAATATCACGACTCAAGGGTTTTCGTTTTCGCGAGAAAGTAGCGTCGAGTTGCTGATAGCTAACGTCCGAAAAGGTGCCGAGTGCAAAGGGTTAACTATTAAAAAAGACATTTTTTTACTACGCTTATGGACGTGCGTTCATATATTTATACTATTAATACGATTGAGTCTAAACAACCAAATGAATTTCAATGTAATTTTACATTAAGTTTTGTGTTCTCATTTCAAGGTTTGATACACGTTATTTGTAAGAAATTTAAAAAATGTAAAGTAATAAAATTATAATTATAATCGACACATTATACATTATTTGTCGTCGGTTGTCATGCCGGCTAATACAAACAAGAGAAAAAAGCAACGATCGTGGACTGATGCAATACAGAGCCACAGATATGTACATATAGACAGAATTCATTGTAGTAGTAGCGATATTTTTGAAGAAAAATCTCGGAAACTAAGGCCGAGCGGCGGTTATATGTATAGGAAAAAGTTGCTCAAAATGTTGATTTCTACAACATATTCAAAAATCATCGAAATCGGTGAGACCCGGCCTTTTCTAAATAATTACCTCATTTTCTTTCAATAATTCTCCATTGCAAAAATTCTACAGTATTCTTACATTTTTTTATATTTTAAAATTTTCCCATGTTATTAGAAAGTAGATATACAACGAAAGTTATACAATTTATAGTTCCTAGCATGTATAACATGTATATGTATATAACGCATGGTCGCTTCGTATGGAAAGTGAATGAATCTTCAAAAAGCGCCCAGGTCCGATTTCGAGAAATGTAAGGTCTGTCGGTCACGATGGCTTTTGTCGTTTACTGACGATTCGAACGGTTGGCGATGCCAGGCTTGCTTTCGAGAAATGTAAACGACGTCAGCGATGCAAGAGCGAGAAGGAAAGCGAGTATCAGCCTGTTCTTCTCGGCTCTTCCGAAACTCAACGAGCTCACGTACACGCAATTGAGCATAGTGTGCGAAAGCGAGGAATGAGGAGTTTCCGGGGCCCCGATGCACAGTCTGATTAAACTGATTTCGAGTCGCAAATACGTTTCTGCCGAGTTATTTTTTTAATAAATGATGTATTACAATTTAAAATAAAAAATAGAGAATTTGCGGTGTACGTATCAATGAAATACATCCTTATGAATTTTAATAATCTTGAAATTTTTAAATACTCTTAATCGATTGATTTCTCCAATGAAATTAATCGATTAATGCCCAATGATGGACCCTACAGCTTTAATTCCGTTAAAAAATAATAAAATTTATGTAATTTTATTTTCTGTCTCACTTCCTGTTGTGTTAATTTCTGAATCTGTTGATAACGTAGCGAGTGACACGAAAATGGTAATGGGGTCCCGGGACCCCAGAAACTCCGGCCGAAAAATTACATTACGTGAAACGTCTATTCATATATCTCGTCTGTGCTTACATAGAGTGCATTGCCACAGCTCGTCTGTGGCATTGCAAACAAAATGGCTTTCCACAGAGTCGATACTTCAGTTTGTGTGGCACCAAGCTCCACGGATAAAGATATTTACAATTAAAACAGAAAAAAGCTATGGTTCTACAAAAAAAACAAAGAAATAACCGGAGAATTTATTACAAGGTTTAGCAAGATAAGATCTAATCACCTAATCCAATCCTGTACCGTAACAAATTCAAAATTGAACTTGCAATTAAAGAGACACCAACAATATTCATGATTTTCTTGAATACATTAAGACAACCAAGAATGTCATTGAAATAGTTAATAACAATAATAATTTAATGACTCCGTGGCTAATAGCCTAACTGTTGATGGTGTCGTTAAGGCCATCTTATACAAGGAAGATCTAATCATTATGATTCGAATACCATAAACAAAAAAATTACACTTTTTAGAAAATATAAAATATATAACGAGCAAAACCTTTAGTTTGAAAGTAATCGGTCAAACAGTCGAGTCATTCTTAACGCTAATTTGAAAAACGTAGTTTCGAGAAAAAACACATTCAAGAGGATATTCCACTGCAACCGCGCGTATTCAATACAATTTAATTAAAAAAGAGCCAATAAATCTACGAAGCTTCTGTTCTGCACACATATTTCCACATATTCAAAGTACAATCACAAATTTTTCCAAAGCATTCCATAGAAAATTCAATGAGTTACAAATCCACATCCAGGTCTATGAAACTAACCCTTTAAAGCTTCGTAGTTTGTCCCACAAAACAGTCTGTAACTCCGTTATTTTTTGGAACACGATCTCAAAACTTCCCGAGTAGATTTTCGAAACGCGCTATTTAATTATGGAGAAAGGGGAAATTCGTTTTCGAACCTGTCACGCGAGAATCCTCTCTTGATATTCACCACCCTCGCCCCATCATTTCTCGTCCACGCTGACAGGTTTCCGATAACGTATAGTTCCCGGACGGCCGTCAGATGGCGGCGCTGTCGCTTCGAGCTGGTATCGCGATTCGAGCAGAGTTACGTTGGTACACCAATCGCGTCCGCCTCTATTTTCGTAGAGGTCGAACGCGTGTGAACGGTACGCGTCGCTCCAAGTTCTCAGTACGGCTTAGACTTCAGCCGGACGGGGTCTGGTCTATCTTGTTCTTGGCGTGCGACAACGTAAGTATCCGAATTACTGACTGAAACTCGTCGAATTTTCGCGTCATTACGACGTGTCACGACGTGAACGCGGTGACGTCCCCGTTTCACCGGGACAATTATCCAGCGACAGCATTTCCCGGCTCGCCAATTAATCATTGACGATTATACGCGACTGTGCGAAGTGTCAGACAAAAATCGAAGTAAATTCGATCGGTTGCCACGGAAAACTGACTCTTTTCCTTTTTTTCTTCTTCTTCCCCGTGATACAAGGTGCGAGCGTGTTGCAAACTCGTGCAGCTTCTCGTTAATTGTGCGCCAGCTGCGAAATTGACCTACGGGGGCTACTTAAAGGGACATTCTGATACCGGGCGCGAACGAAGCGTCTTTGATATTTTTTTAAACAAAAACCGTCGGTGATATCGAGTTGAAAATTTGCATGGTTGTTTGCACGTATCTTGGCGAGGTACGTGAATTTTTTCGATGAAAAATATGTAATAGTATCGGAGATGTAGGATACTTGTTCCGTGTGCTTTAAAAAGAGAAGAGTGCATTAGGGGAGTCCTAGTGGATCGAATGATAGAAAAATAAATTGTTCGTTTCTGTGAGTGTTAATATGGTCTTGATCAGAAGGGGTTAGTGATGTTAATAAGTGGGAAAGTATGCGGAGTTTTTCATACATATTCTTCTATTTAACTTTTATGAAATAACTTCATCGAACTCTCACTGTTTATTAATTTCCAATCATTAAATTAAATGGAAGCAGAGGTTGTTGGAAACATTTGTTTCAGCAGCATAAAGTTATTAACTGCGTGATGAGAAATATAATCTGTTTATTGAGAATATAAGGTCACGAACACACTTTATGGAAATAGCAAATTAATGGGGAATACCAGCACCCTACTATAGCGTTCCAGGGGTAATGATTCCTCAATTTCCGTACTTCCGGTGAAAAAGGGATCTCCACTTTACGTATACACCAAATTTCAAATCGATTTATGGAAGAATTTTTTAAAAACGTGGTTTAAATTTTTTAAGGAGTTATAGCTTATAAAAAATTGTTTTCGAAAAATCGAAATATCGTACCAAAGTATTCTTGGCAATTTTTCTGTGTACCACATAGAATTACTTTGAAAAATATTTATTAAAATTACCATAGGTCTAAATATATACAGTTCTCTGCTATTTTATTCGAAAATGAATTGTGTCTTAGATATGAAAAGAAAATTTATTTTCCATGAATTATACCTTGTAAAAAATTGCCTAGATTAGGTAGAATAATCAAATGAAAAGCTGAAATATCTATTCAAGATATGGTAAAAATTGAGGAGCCACCAATTTGATTTTTGGGGTACTAAAAAGGTTAAAATACAAATTTTCGCAAAAGGGATCTTCGTAAATAAATATTTCGCCCAATTTTACTATTATTCTTTGGAGTACGATCTCTTGATTCATCCAATTTTATAATTCACTCCTTGTACTATTAATTACTGACTTAATTTTCAACAAACCTTGGAACCAGAGATTGGCAGAATTTTATTCCAATAAAAAGTAACAAAAAAAACTCCGTTTAGTTATTTATTTGTAATGCTTAGTCTTTTAAATAAAATTATATAATTCAAAGTTGTTTATATACACCCATTATAAATTTTTCATTTGGGTGGAAATTGATAATTATTGAATTTAATACATAAGCTTGTATTAATTTTAACAAGCTTTAAATTAACTTTATTTAATTTTCACAATTTCTATTTGAAGCATCTATATAAACTTATATTAATTTATCAAGCTTTAAATTAACTTTATTTAATTTTCACAATTTCTATTTGAAGCATCTATATAAACTTATATTAATTTATCAAGCTTTAAATTAACTTTATTTAATTCTCACAATTTCTATTTGAAGCATCTTACCAGATCACTAAATCGCTAATCAAGATTTAAAAATCATCGTCGTAACTCGTATCAATTATGCTCAATCCTTTTTTTAGCAGGATTTAAATCACTGCTGTAAATAAAAACGTTAACGTTCGAGGAATTAATTCCGTTCGTCTTACTTCAGAAATGGAAATTCTCTTTGCAAGTACTTTCTTCATATTCATATTTCATCTCAGTGGGGGGTTGACATTTACGACACAATTTTTTCAAGGAAGCAGCTTCAAATACAACTGACAAGGAGAATAAAAATCTTCTCTAAAAATTTAGAGTATTTTAACACTAGAACTATCAAAGCCGTCAAAATGACCCATTCGTGATTTCTAATAAGACTTGTAAAAAATTAATTCGACTTAGTTTTTGAAAGTTTACTGTAATTTTCTACAGGGTGTCCCGTAAATAGTGTAAGAACCGGAAATGGGGGGGTTGCTGAAACGATTCTGAACAACAATTTCCTTTACAAAAATGTCGGATGGGGCTTCGTTTTTGAATTATTAACGAAAAACACATAAGAGAATGAATATACATTTATTTCCCTTGCATCATATATTTCTTCATGTATCTATCGTTTTAATTTCTTTGGTTCAAATGAATTCACTATAATTGTAGTTCTAGTGTTAAATAATAATTTTGCCAATTTTCGTGAAAATTCTGAACGGTTGTTTGAAACGTCCTCTTTAAAAGGATTCGATCGATTCTTTTGAACGTTCGAAACCCGCGGAAAATCGAGGAAGAAACATTCTCGGGATGTTTTTTTTTTTAACAGTGTGTTTGCTCATTAATACGCACTTCGAATTCCAGAATAACAAATGTTGTTTGTGAGCCATGTGCCGCCCATCGGTCTTCTCCAAATGACGTTTGGGACGATTATACGATAAATCTACGATGTCTCGATCGCGGTGTCAAAGATCGTGATCCCCGATGATCGGTCGATCGTTGATTTTTGTGCTTCATTGGGCTCACCGACGATTTGCTCGCTCGAAGATAACATTATCGACGCGATTTTTAAACCAGTCCAATATTTAACACTTCATTCGCGTAATTTTTAAGCCAGTCCAATATTAAACACTTTTTTTTTCTGCATAAATATCGAGAACTGACGTAAGTTTCGACAAATTCATCGGAGAACAGAACGAAAGGATTATTCATCTGGACAATATATAATCGCTCATTACGTGAACCCATTCGTTCCGTCAATACAATACATGTTATTTACATAACCAGTTCCGTGGCAAACGTGGTTTTGTTTCCTTCGGCTGAAGATTGGCTCTACGTTTTCGTTTCTTATCGTGCCTCTTCGACTTTGCTATGTATCTGCATTTACGGGTATCTTAATTAATTAAAGTGATATATGTAGAATTTTATATGAGAATTATACAATGAAATTAGATGGATTTTAATTGTAACAGGTAGGACTATGATTATTCCCGATTTAAGTTTATATACAAAGCATAAATATTTCTCTGTTCTAAAAGTTCCAGAAATGGTTCAAAATAAACAGAGAAAATGAGTACTTTTGTACGGTTCATCTATTTTATTTAAAATAAATTCCTTCATTGAATGCTTCAAACATTTTCGTTTCATTGATTGGAGTATTATTATGTGGAGAATAGTCGTGAAGAAAAATTAGTGAAAATCTATCGTAAAATGGTACATTGTCATGCAATTCAACTTTCAGATACGCATGAATCTCATTTAGATCATAAATCAGCTTAGAATCGTTCGAGTGTCACGAAATTTGTTTGATAGTACTCACAAAGGGTGTGTCACTTTAATAAAATAAACAATTAATAGGCAGTACTGTTAAAATAAAAAAAGAGAAATTAATATTTTTCTATAATTCATGTATTTTATTTAAAACAGTCTCTATTGACAATGGTGGAGCAATTTACTCGTTTCAAAAGTGCTTGGAATGATTATTTAATTTTATCAACTGATACATCGTTGGCATCAGTTTAACAAAATAAATAATCAATAGTACTGTTAGTTTGTTTTATTTCAAGCCATTTTTAGAACTTCTAACAGAGATGTTAACTTGTAACACAAATCAGCCCAAATCAAACTGAAATCGATTTATGTCATTGTCGACCATTGGCCAGATTAAGTAGGCTACTTCTACCTACTAAATCTAACCCAAACTCATAGCAAATATTTTGTCCCATATTTCTGAAAATATAATCAAGTTGGTTTTGTCAAAATATTTCGAGGCCACTGAAATTGACGAGACAATTGTCTGGAGGCCAAAATAAGACGAAAATCAAGAATACCAATTCGTTGAAAAGTTATTAGCCAAATTACTGTTCAAAATTATTGATAAAATTTGTCCACCCACACGAATTTTATTCTCTCTTAGAATTTCTACATATTCTTGACTAAAATACGCGTGGTTTGCGTTTTGAAACGTTAAAATCGTCCAATCCGTTCAGAAGTTACGACTTTTTAAACATACGCATGAAATTTAAGGAGATTAGGCATGAAATTCAATTTATGGTCAGACATTGTATGTTCGGTAAAGAATTTTTTTCTCGAAAATGCTTAGGATTTTGAGGGTATATCTGTTAACCAAAAATGATTATAATGGACGCCTGCAACTGAAAATAATTTTTTTAGAACGATTTGAAATTTTTTAATTTTGTCGAAAAATTTGACCATCTAGTCGAATTTTTTTCTCGAAAGTGCGTAGGAATTCGGGGATATGTCTATTCATAAAAAATGATTGCAATTGCCCTCCACAATCGAAAATAATTTTTCCAGAATGATTTGAAATTTTTCAATTTCGGCGAAAAATTTGTCGTCGGTATGGAACTTTGAACGTTAATAACTTTTTAATGAAGCCTCAATCAACAAATTGGTATTCTTGATTTTCGTCTTATTTTGGTCTCTAGAATCTCCCATTAAAATTTTTCCCAAAGGTGGCCGAACACCCTGTATAAGAATAATCATCGAAAAGATACGAGATCGCGCTTTAGAGACGCCTATTGCATTCATAAGTAAATATAAGAGCCCGAACTGACGTGGAAGTCATTGTTTTCGTATGTATGATAGATAAATTTTCATTCGGGTGGCCAGTACCACAATAATGTCAT